AGGGTCTTCTTTTAATCCAGTGCCTCAGAAGAAATCGACGGGTTAGGAATACTGATTACTTCCATACACATTTTTCTACACAAATAATTCAATAATTACAAACATTGGTTAGTCTTCAACAATTTAGTAGCGTTAGTTATTTAACCAACCCTAATTATTAATGAAAAAATTAGTGATTATTATTTCAGCTACTGTTATTGTATGCGAACAAAAGGTATTGTGAAAAAAGTAAAAGATAAAAACAAAATACGATTTTGATTTTGAGTATCATTTAAGCTCCTAAATAAATAATTTTTCTCAAAAAATTTTTTTAAGGGTTAAATTCTTTTAATCATATTTTAGGTTAGGATGAAGATATTGAGATGTAGTTTTCCCTAGACCCTTATTTGACTATCTAATGAAGTGAAAAAAGTCATATTATTAATTTTTCTGAAAATTATTTTTTTGCGATTATGTCAGAAAACACGACCTGCTGCAATCGCGATCGTGTGACATACAGCAAGAATGATAGGCCAGGAAAAGAAGCCAACATGAAAAAAAGCTGGAGGGACATTTATTTTAAATCTCGCTTTCAACCAGTGAGGCCTTGGGGCAACATCATATCCGTGCGTCAATTCGACAGTTTTTAGTTTCGAGACGCCATTTTTTCGTTAGTCAAGTATGCCTTGAACCTATTACATTTTTACAAATTTTACGGCTTTTATGAGCGTTATCAATATTAGTGAATAAAATAATTGTTGAGATTTTCTGCAGAATTACAATATTTGGTTAAGTGACAGCGACATCAAAATGTTCGTTTACGTCACTGGGTCAGGAGGAAACATGGTGAAACGAAACAACCGCGACCTGATGCCATTAAACCAGATTAGTCGCGGTAATAACCCACACTCGTTGATACAATTACTCAAAACCTCCCGTCGTCGCTTGGCTTGCGGGTCAAATTTTAAAATTTATGTTCCTAATTAATTAAAGTATGCATCAGCGAACCGCAATGCCAACGCCACTGTACAAACTGCATCGTATTCATTAATCTGGTTAGGGGAATAATTTATTTCGGGCATATCGCTGAATTCTCGACTGCTGAGTTACACGTTCATTTCGATTTAGTTTTGCTACCTGGTTTCGACAATGGAATTTTTTAACAAAGCAACAATTTTTGATTGTTGCTCTTGTTAGTTGTAGGAATTATTACTGAGCTTGGTATAACCCAAAGAATCAAGTCATCAAACAGTAATATGTTTTAAATGCAATTCCAAAACTAAACAAAAGTTATAAACAAATAAGGCATGAAAACTGATATCAGTTTTACTTTACAGGCATTGTTATGGAGATAGACAGGCAGGCCATTTTAGCAGTTCTGTTTTTGGAATTCCACAATTAATTAAGCGAGAAATATCCCTTAGTAATTTTTGAACTTGCTTCATATTTCCTTATTTTCTGTCAATGCCTTGACAAAATATCTTTCAAATTATTTAATTCGGTTTAGTTTTTATTTTGAATGCTGATAAGTGATAAGAGACATTCACGAGGACAAATATGCTTATCATCCCTGATTCTTCGTTTTGTAAATATTTTTTATAGGAGGTTCCTGTCCGTAACTAGTATATATCTTGCCTAAATAGAAATATATACTACGAAGCAAGGCTTCTTAAAGATATCTGTATACAGTGACAATTAACTCTGTGCTATCGTATTTTTCTTACAAGTGTGCCGCTTATATTGAAAGTCTGCGATAAGAAGTAACAATTTGAAACTTTGGAAGACATTTGGACACAAGCAACAGAAAAACAAAAGTTACGTAGTGTGTTCGTGGTTCTAAGCCATAACAAATATGACGATGTGTTCAACTGGAAACTTATAATAGGAAATATTGCACAAACAGTACAAAACGTAATGTAAAGCGCAAAAATGTTTGGCGGTTTTGACAATTATTTATATCTAACCTAAGATCTAAGACGGTTATATAGATATTGATTATTCACATATAACCTCACAAGTTTCTAGAAGAACTTGGGTTAATGTGTAAACTTATGAAGTAACTAAGAAAAAAATTGGAGGTCATTCAAAGTGCGCATTTTTAAACCACGCGCGTTTTTAACCACGCTGGTCGCTGACAGATTATCAATAAGTTTTGATTCGGCATTTATACAGCAGTATTTTCTTAAAATTTGCCTAGATGTAGTTCAATGTTTTGGGGAAACGATTTCAGTGTGTGGAAATCGCTGTTTAGAAAGAAAATTACAGCCTGCGACGCATCAACACTACCTAGTGAGCTACGAAACTTTTAATGCATTGACATTTCATGTGGGTCGATGAGATATTGGGATATGACAAAAAGATTGAAGTATTGGAAATTGTCAAGACCACCTTTGTATAAATAAAATCACTAGAACTTGAACCTTTGTTGGTGATTATTATTTCGTCAGGTTATATATCTAATAAACCTCTTGCTATGCAATCAATATCAACAATATGTACAGGCCCTAGTTAGTCACTTCTAAACCTCAGAATCAACTCATAAGACCGTGAACTCGACAGTTTTTACTTTGGCTGCGGCATTGTTTCGGCGGAATATTTTCCAAATATTAAATTTTTGAGGGAAAACGAGATAAATGTTTGGATATTGTTTAAAAAACTGTTTTAAGTTTTCCGTAACTAGTACGTATATGATAAGAACGCTATGAAATCTTTGGGATAATTTAATGAAACGTTGCTATGCGATAAATGCCAAGAAACTACGCTTTAATTTTTCAAAGAAACTTCCACAGGCTACTGTAATACTTTTTACAAATTAGTACAAATTTTGTAAAAAAAAGCTATGCTTGATTTCAAGTAAGTGGATAAGGAAAAGAGAAATTGTGATTAAAGGTTGGGCTTCAAATTCTATTGATAATATGTCAACACTAACTTTAGCACAAGAGGAATCTCAAATAAATTCGAGATTAACGGCATTTTGTTTGTCCACCCTGCCCAAGGTATTTTATTAAAAGTATGGAACTTGCGGCGTCGATTCGACGATAAAAGAAAATACCATAAAAAGGAAACCGGAAAGTTGTTTTCTGTTTGACGAAAGTTTTACCTAACACCTTGTCGTCATTATAAATTTTTGAAAAATTCGCAAGGGTTCAGGTTCGATTATCGGTATTAATAGTCCGCAAACAAACCAATTTCTGCAGATACGGAAACATTACGACTCTATGGACCAACCTGTGATTTTTATTTGAATTTTGTAACGAGATCAAACTTTTCAAAGTTTTATCATATCAAACAACCAAATAAGTTCGTGCTTGTAGTTCGAAATCCAAAAAAATCAGAAAAGTGAAAAAAAGCTCCAATGGATGCATGAAATAGCACCGCAGTGACCTTTGAGAAACATGAAATAATTATTAATTTCTAATAATTTACCATCTGCAGGCGCACAACGAACGTATTTTTTACAGCAATTTGTTTTTTAAAAAACAATTTTGTGCCGAATAGTTGGTAAATACAAAGTGTGTTTCACAGGGTAAAAATAACAAACATATTTTGAATGAAAAACAAAAAACAAACAATAATATCCCCAAAACAGAACAGGAATATACAAAACATACAAAGAATGTATAGAAATATTCAAAAAACTCGGAATAATTAATAATATATAAAGGTAGCATTTAAAACAACAAAGATAATGCGAACTTTTTATTTATTTTTTAAACGACTTAAAGGGTCATCAGTTGTGAATTCTGCTAAAGACTAAAGGGCATTTCATTATTTTTAGATCGCTTCGGTTTAACAGGTAACACTGTTCGGGTGAGAACATTACAAAACTGTGTAGTGTATGGAAAAACTTACCGTTGCTCTTGTAACAAGTTTTATTAGTAGCAAACAGTAGCGATTTTGTACACGACTTTGAGCTAAAATTAGCTTTTGGTTGTGAAAAGACATGTATCATCCTGTCAATCGCGTTTGTCATTTTTAAACCCTTTAAAATCATACCTCTCGCCCATGTCACATTTGATTGTCCCCTGTATATTATTTATTCACGTTTATTCGTTTCTTTTTCATCCTCGCTATGGAACATATAGCACGTATTTTAGGAAAATTCATTGTAGCACGTAATCTATGCTTATAAATTAGCTCGACTACGAAGATGATGCAAATGTATTTTGTAGATGTGCACATAGTTTTGGTTTTCTTCTTTCTCTCTCGCCCTCCCTCCCATTTCCTGTCTGACTTAAACTGTAATCGATTGTTTCAAAGAAATAGAAAATTAATATGAATTGAAAGTTGATGGTGGCAAAAATTGTTCTGATATGCACGAATCAATATATTGATTTCTTGCACTTACATCTCGTGATTCAAAAAAGCACAATATGTGCTCATATCCTATGATTAATTAATTAATTAATTAAAAATTATAGCTGAATTGAAAATTATCAAAGGTTCATATTTGGTCATTCTATACGCCCCAGGAATCTTTGAGCATCCTTAACTTATCGATTTTATATTACTCGGGTCTAGAGGGTCTCCGAAGTAGAAGGTATGTCTATAAATACGACCTTCAGAAAACTTTGCGAAGGTTCAAATAGGTTGCTGCCGCATTGCTAATAAAAGTTGTAATTCTGCAGGGTCCCTACTCTAGTCCCTATACTTTTAAGTAGATGCTAGAAAATATAGGTCATATCATTGAACGAGGCCACCAATTACATTACATCACAGACTTCAAAAACTGAGAGAAGTTAGCTTCTATTATTAACGTTAGAATTTGAATATCAGTATTTAAATTGTCTAAAAGAAAGTGTCCTCCAAAGTATAGTTTGGCAACGTTCCAAAATGTGCGCCGTACTAAATAACTCACGCTGTGATTATTGTTTTTAGTTTCAATAAATCCTAATTACGTCAAAACATATCTGTGGGTAGCATTTGTAAGAATAATCACACGCCCCCATCCAATAAAATTCCAATCTGTCCACCGAGTCCGACCCAGATGAATGGCATACTTTCCTCTTATTTACTGACAAGCGAATTGTCCCTACTAAACGAATTTAGAAAATAAGAAACAAGTTCAAGAGTTTATCGGTGTCGATATTCGTTCGCGTTAGATGCCAAAACTGTCTAACTTTATCGGCAATTATTCATATTTAAAAGGCATCCGTTCAGAAAATGGCCAGGGCGGTGGTAATCGGGTCAATGGGGTTGCTTTTGTGCGGAGGTGTTCTATCGGTATGCGTGGATAAGTTCGCCTTGTCGTCAGTGGATTCGTACGTCCACAAGACGAGGAATTCCAGAGCTATTAAACTAGAGAGTCACAATTTCAATCTTCTGGATGATTACATCGCAGTTGATGTGACGAGGGCCAACGTTACCCAACTATGTGAAGGTAAGATTCAGTGTCATATTTTAATATTCGCATGAAAGGGTTAATACCTTTGAAATTTCTAAAAACGTTAAACGAAAAATCAAAGTGTTTAAACTTGTTAGATACACTAAGTTTTAGATTTTCTTAATATCGACTGAGAGCGACTGAAAGGGGTCTGTAATATAAGTGCAAATAGTTGGTTATCAGATAAGTGTTATATCGCATAGTATGCGAGAAAAGTTTAGCACATGACCTAAGGAGTCGAATTTTTTATCCAACATTTTAATAATAAATAAATATGGGAGTGTCAAATTTAATAAGTAGGTGGACAGCCCCTTGGAGGGAATTTGTTGACTAATTTTTGTTCAAATAAATTTGTGCGCAAAAGTGCAGAGTATGAGAGTGTCGAATTAAATAATTTAATAAAAAGAGTTTAAGGTATTTGTTGACTAATTACTGTTTTAAATTGATTTTGTTGCATAGGATTTCTTTAACTCAAACCTTATAACCAGTGAATTATGATGTAAACTTATTATTTAGTAATGAGCCATATTAATCATTTAGAATGAAATGATTAATATGGATTAATAAGGAAAAATACGCGTGCAGCGTATTTCAATTAGGTATAATATTTTCACTGGATTATGAAACCCAAAAGAATATACCCAGGTACAAAAAATTTAATTTGTATTTTGACCTTTGTTAATTTTGATTGTCACGTCACACGTCCCTCAATGTGCTGTTGTGCAAAAATAATTAATTGACAGAAAAAGTATAAGTATAATAACAATGGCGTTTATCATGCTTATTGCACTATATACTATTTTGATATTTACACAATAGTACCTACCATAAATATCTGTTAATAGGATTTCAGAACGGGTACAAATTATAAGCAGTATTAACCATCTGCAAAAGCTATTTAGTTTTTTGTACCTAAGTTTTATTTATGTTAGGGAAAATTATTTTTTGAACATATTCCTTATCTTTCGGCGGATTGTGCCGCGTCTTTTACGATTGCAGTGTTTCTTCAAGTCCAATAGGTCTTAGTTAGGAATTCATGGATGTTTACTCCAATAAAAGTATTAAAAAAAGTATAAGTATATGCACGTTGAAATAATTCATCAACATATTGCGTTCACCATAACAAAATTGAAGAAAAATACAAATTATTGGAATTTTTGGCATATAAAAAGCACAGCGAATGATAATGTAATCTACATGTTAGTAACCGAATTACTAGCATAGACATAACCCTAATAAAATAAGATTGAAATGACCATACGAAAGCAAAAATGGCCCTTTCCATATAAACTCTTAAAAATGATTGTTAGGCCATGAATAAACGTTTTAAACTCTTACCACTTCACTCTCGCAAAAACGAAACAATTCTTATTACATTGTGTCATTCCAGGCATGATCAAGAACTTTCCCAGATTGGAGACTTTGGCTCTCATCAACGTCAATTTGTCGCAAATAGAACCGGGCGCTTTTGAGAACACTCCCAAGCTCAAAGGGCTCTCGTTGTCCGTAAACCGCCTGACTAGAATCGAGAACGGGATATTCAACAAGATCCCAACGCTGCGGGTCATTTATTTAACCAGGAACGCGATCGAAACCATCGAGGACGGCGCCTTCTCGGAAATGCCAAATTTGAAAGTCGTTCATCTAGATCACAACAAAATCGTTGAACTGACCGGAAATATATTTTTCGGCAGCAGGAAAATTTCATTCGTGGATTTCAGTCACAATTCAATAAAGGAAATCGATGCCAAATCGTTTGACGATTTACGGCCGGGACCGGCGATCAAAAAACTCAATATCCTCCTCAAGAAAAACCTCATAACTAGAGTGGACAAGGCGGCTTTGGAGGGACTTAGCACGCCGGTCGATCTCCATTTAGAAGTCAACCAAATATACCTCACCTCTGATATAATGCACGGAGTCCGAGAGGGTAGCGAAGTGTATTTAAACGGAAATAATATAGAATGCATCCCTGACGATGTAATCGACGAGGTCGAGACGAAGCGGAAAACTTTGCATATCAAAGGCAATCCGCTTAATTGTGAGTGCATGAAAGTGTTGGAGAATCGATGGAACGAAGACATCACCAACGTGGGAGAGTTGTATTTCGAATCGACGCTCCCTTGCAGTGCTTTTCCCGAACTGTTCCTTTAAATTTATTGTGTTTCGGTCGGTGGAACGTTGAAACCGAACTACGATAGGCTTCTTGGGCACAAATCGGAATTTATACACAAGGTCACAATTTGATACAAAAGCAGTTACGTATTCTTAGCGGTCATCTGGCAGACTGAAAAAATAGAAAGATAGATTCAAGAAAACATATTCTTCTTCTCATAGTTTTATTCCACCCTTTTCTTTGCCCATTATACGATATCACAACTCGAATGCTTCCAGTTTCTGTTGTTCGTTCACCACAGTTCCGAGATAAGTTATTAATGTTGTCTTTGCTTATAATAATTATTTTATCTACAGTCTGTTATAATATTTATAAGATTTTGCAACTCCTCTATGGTGTCGGCGAAAAAAACGAAAAATATATTGCAAAACCATTTAAAACAAAACATACAAATGTAAAACCATTAATACGTACATAGTTTTCCATGTACAAATATAAGCAATTAGTTTTAGCTGAACGATATCAATTCTCCGAATTCAAATTAACGCCTAAATAACAACGATGCTGATGCTAGTCTAGGAATAGAAATATAACATTAATTTAAGAGTTTTTTGCAGAATAACAAGCACCCATCAATATAGTTTGCAAAACTAGAATGTTAATCATGATTTACTATTTTCTATTATTAAATTGTAATTAAATTAGAATTTTAAATATATCCAGATAATAATAGCGTAATGGTCTATATAAAGAATATTAAAAGATCAGACATATTTTACCCTTAAGCATAGCTATCGTTACCATTATCGTTTATTATAATAAATAAATTCTTTCAAAAAAAGTCGTTTGTTTTAGCGAGATTGGCTGTTCCATCAAAAATAAAGTTATTGTTATTATATTTCAGATAATTACAGTAGGCTTCGCATTGGCATAATTAACGAAGTATTATTCTAATTTATCGCTTCAGAAAACCATTTTTGAAAGGCGAAGTTTAAAATTTAAAAAAATGAGGGGTATAAATGCAGCGCGACGTCTTTTTTTCGTTGATAGCGAACCATACTACGTTGTTATCGCAGAAATGACCGGCCACTTTTACCCTCCAAAGTTCTTTTCCTTGTTGCTGATTTAGGTTTATTAGGGACCCTAATAGAAGTCGTTTCCGCACATGCAAGGTTTCAATCTTATTAGTGGACGGCAACGTGAGGGGGCGGAAACTGATCACTCTTTTAACGTTAAGTTTATGAAAAATCCACCTCCTTACCTTACCTCGCTGTCTATTGAAAAAAAAAATATTAACAATAATTTTTATATTCATTTTATGTGACTAACGAGGGCACGGCACTAAAGTAAGTGTTTTTTTTCATTAAAAATACTTTTTTGCCTTTTTGAAAATTATCCAAAAGCGTTCAATGTGCAATCATGTAACTCTAAAATTAGGAATTTTTCTTAAATTCACTCGCCAATATGTTTCCCGACACCTCTTTGATGAACGAATTTCCAAATCAAAGTCTAATTCATGGATTGGACATCTTTAAAATTGCTTTTACAATGTTAACACAACATTAAAATAATTGATGTGTAAATGACCTTATTGTTTGTTTGTTTGTCTTTTATAGAATTTATTTTTCTTATAAATTGCGTCTTTTACCTTTTTCATTCTCTGTATTTTTTTCACCCTTATTTCACAATTTACAATTTTTGTAAGAGTTGTAAAAAATAGTATGAAATACTACTACCACTTGGAGGCTTGTTCAAGTGTCGTCTGGCAGTTAAACTGACAATATATTATAATTATCATCCATATTATACATAGCGTAATGTCCGTAGTGGCTATATAAATACGACAAATGCGATAACTTTTGAACTAGGTAACCTCAAACGTTGACACCGAGGAAATTAAAAAGTATCCGAAATTTAAAACTATTCTTCCCGTTTATAAAAACGAGCAACTAGGTTGTGGCCATTAAATGTAAAATAAATCGTTCATTAACCTGAATACCTCGATGGCTTTGCGACCATTCTCATCTAACTTTTCTAATTAGGGGCGAATACTTTTTAGAAAAGAAAAAAAAACGGGAATCGGAACCAGCAAAGCATAAAATAACAATGAGAATTAAGTGCCAACTTTCCCAGAAGGATATTCAATTAAATCTATTATTTCGCGAGGAAAAGAAAAAACAAAGTTTTCCCATTTGAAAATACCGTTCATTCAAATCATTGTTTTCGGAAAGTCGGTCTATAAATTATTTTTGCTTTTCCACACTGAGCAAAAATGTTAACTCCCACTGTAGCTATCTTGAAAAAAAGAAAAATCTTTACTCCCAGCCAGGTTTTAAAAGTTTCTCCGGAAACAAGAAAATCTCGCCAAATTTCTCAACATTTCCATAGTATTAGAATGGTGAATAGCGATCGAACAACTAGCACCGGTATTACATTTTCATTATCGTACCTGTTCCAAAGTATTTAGAGTATTCACTACCAACTCTAATAAAAATGAATACAAAAAAGATTAACGACGAACAAAAATAACCTCATAACAGAAAACACTCAAATGTTAGTGGCCACATCCTTAAGTAGAGCAAGAAGTTTTGTTAGTCTAAATCAATAAATTTTCTCAATCTCAATCTGCTCCAGAGCCTCCTTAAAATCCGCATGGATTATATCATGCCAGTATGCAAGTTGGTTAAATTCCACCACTATTATTGCGAATTTTGGCTAGACAAAAGACAAAAAAAATGTAGGTACCTTTTGTCCCATTGAAATCATTCATGACTAATAGAGTGAAGTAAACATTTCCCTGTATTTCTAATAGATATTTGGGTATGGCTAAGTAGTGACCAATGTAGCAAATTGGTTAACACCAATTAACAATAAACTCCCTTCCCTCCCCTATTTAACACATTGTCGTAAACATTAATCTTCAACATTTGAGACATTGGTGGAGTTCTTGATTTTTACGATGTCGAAAAAGCTGTTTGTGTCTATCCTTCATATACAAACATTATTCTAAAACGCACAGGTAATGGGACGTATAGTTTATGGAATAAAAAAACATTGGCTGGAACCGATCTTACAACGCAATATATTTACTGGATTTTCACCGTGGCCTTCACTTTGCAATTTTGCAAAAATTCTCAAAGCGGCACGCTACCGAATCTATGGCATCGTTTGCACTTTATCCCATTAATAGTGGCCAATACGGTTGGCGCTCGCCATTACGCTCGTTCCCAAAATTACTTACCTGTTCCCGTGCAGGCGAGGCCATAAACATCGGGGAACATATTGTTCAAGAAACTAATATCCTGTACAAGAATTTACGGGACTACGTCGAGGTAGCAACTACACCGGGTTATGTGGACGTATTAGATACATAAATAACGTTTCCGGGATAGATAGGTAGCCTGATATTAGATGAGACAGATTAAAAAACTGATTCTCTTGATATATGCTTTTGATATTATTGGACAACAAATCACTCACTTATTTCGTTTCGATTCTTCAAGCAATAAAATGTCGTTTATGCATTTTCAAGTGCAAACACATATTCTTCTTCTGCGAGTGCCGTCTTCGTTGCGAAGGTTGGCAATCATTAAGGCTATCTCATCCATGAGCGACGTCTTCTTCCTACACTCCTTATTCCTTGCAGTTTTCGTTTTTTTATTGAAATATTAACTTATTTCTCCCCTCTTATTCTTCTCATGATTTCTTTGTTCGTCACTCTATAGGTCGATTTTACCCTTAGTATATCCACATCTCGAAAGCGATTAGTTTTCCCAAGTATAATTTCTTCAGAGTCCACGCCTCCGCGCCATAATACAGCACCGAGAACACAGCATCTCACCATCCTCATTTTTAAATCCAAGCCGAAGGTCGCTACAACAAAGCAGTCTTTTAATTTTCAGAAAATTTGTTCTCGCCAGTCCTATTCTGGTTTTGATTTCTACGGAACAGTTATTATTACTATTTATAATTGATTATTTGTATTGATAGTTTATAAGAATTTGGTGGTTGTTCTGTGTTGTTTTAGATATTATCATGAATTGTATCTTCTTTACAGTTAAGGACAATGCGAACTCCTCACTCCATATATTCATTTTAATTAGCAGTATCTGAAAATCGTTTGAATTGTTAGCCAAAAGGACAGTATCATCTGCGTATCTTATGTTGTTGATGGGGACACCGTTAATTACAATACCCTTCGTCTCATCTTCTAATGCTAGTTTCGTGATTTCCTCTGAATAAAGGTTAAACAGCATCCGAGCTAGCATGCACTCCTGTCTCACACCTCTGAGGATTTCTGACTCTTCTGTGCTACTTCCTTCCACTTCCACCATCGCTCTCTGACTGAAATAAAGATATGTAATGGTTTTTATGTCTCTGGTGTCTAAATCCTTTTCTTTCAGAATTTCAGAATGAAGCAGACATAGAGTTTTTGATTCATATCCATGCACCACTGGGCAATAACGTTCAGGGCAAAGACTGTTTCTCTTGTTCCTAAGTCATCGCAAAAGCCGAATTGAGTCTCGCTGATATCTTGTTCAATTTTTTTGTATATCCTGTCATGCTTCAGCTTCAGAAATATTTCTGATGTGTAACACATGAGACTGATTGGTCGGAAGTCATTACATTGTCATGTTTTAGTCTCTTATCAACTGTATTAAATTTCAGTGGGCAATTCATCGGGCCCTGCAGTTTTTCTATTTTTTATAGACTTTATAACATGGATGATCTATGCTTTAGTTCTTTCCAGTTCATTGTTATTATTAAATATTAAAAGTTTAACATTATCATAAGATTTTTTCTGCTTGCATGCAATACTCAGTTTCAATTTTCTGTAGTAGTGTCAACTCTGTAAGGATCGTAACTGTTGAATACTTATTTATTTATAGTCACAAATCTGAAGCAAATGGAACCAACGAGGTGTGGAACATAAAACCCAATTTTGGTCTTGTACAAATAGCAAAAAGTTGTTTATATTTGAACAACTTCGTCTCCTTGCCATGGTAATATAAATTTTCTTTAGTCGGAATTGTTTCTAAATTTCTTGTAAGTCACGTAGAACTTATTAATTCGGTGTACGCAAAGCAGGACAATATTTGCGTAGTTTTAATCGTGTTTAGAATCCGTTGGCGATGATATGACGCCGAAACTTCCTCAGCTAATTCAGTTTTCAGATATAATACGCTTAATTAATGAGATTTAGTTCAGAAAGTTTCAGTTTCCCCTTGTTATGTATTACTCTGTGTACACGTCGAAATTCCTTATTTTAAATCAAATTGTATCCAGTGTAGAGCAGGCGTTCATAAAAATTTTAATATCTACCTAGGAATGCGCAAAAAAATCTGCTTATATTTTTAAGAATATAAGATTATTTTTAGACTAATGCTGATAGAAGTAAAGGCATTTTAAAATAATTTTTTTCGTTGAACAATTTCTTTGAAAGGCTTGAATTTTAACTTAACTTTAATGTATGAATATATGAAGGCAATATTTCCTTTTAATTCGTTGACTTATATAAACAAAAAATTAATTTCACACATGTGTACTAGGTTTCGTCTAGAAGTTAGAGAGAATTAAGTTTATTGTTATTGATGAAAAACACTGAACATTTCAACTCAATTTTTATTACCGTTATTTTTCGTGCAAAATAAAATGAAAATTCACACATATATCTGCCTAACGTCCAGCACTTTGTCCAGTGTCATTTTGATGTAAAAATGGGTTTCCGCTTCCCGTTTTGGCATTCCACTAAAATTGCATTTCTCCGCCAAAAACACGTAGGAATTTGTTAATAAGAAGGAGC